TACTTCAAATCATCTAAATCATTTTGAAATAACTTGAAAGGTTTAATCACTGATATTATATTGTAATTATCCAATAATCGTTCGCTTTTTTGTGATGTAAGTTTCATAATACGTGTAATTATACATTAATTCTTAGAATCTAAAATACAGTTTTATCGGTCTCTTGTGAAATAACAGAACAAATGCTTCTAAAATAACATATCAATTTCATAGTACTCAATTTGATATTGTCGATTACCATAAAGAAGCTTGCGTGTTTACAACAAAATGCGAAAAACACAACGACAAATCAACGTGAAGATCTGTGCCGAGGTTCTTGCATACTGCGATTTCACTTTCAACGGAACAAGCGACCGTAACTCGAACAAATTGGCGTTACACGATTCGTGCTTGTCAATCAATTTCATATTTACTGAAGAATACTCTCGGGTACAATCGAACCGATCGTTCCACCTATATTTTCGGATAAACAAAAAGAGATACGATCTATATTAAATTTAAATCGCTCTTGAAACGTTCGCGCAGAGAATTCATCAGGGTGGAGAAACTTCCGATTATGATTTTCTCGTTTCTCTTCATCGCGCTTGCATCGCATTTATTCTATCCGTCTTTGTTAAGGTAAAAGGTGAAACTTTCGCTCCGTTTCGTACATCGTGTCTCGCGAGCGAATCTCATTTCTCTCGGCCAGATACAGGTCACATGTGCGCGTGCCACGCATTATCGATTATACGAGATGCTTCGAAAACCTCAAAACAAAATTTAAGAGGTAAAAGATTTATTTAAGAAAAAATTGAAAAGAAAAATACACTAGATAAGTGAAAATGAAAGTTCAAAAGTGTTCTAAAACTTTGTGTTTTACAAAATAATATATTAAATAAATTATGCTAAATAAAAAAAATAAAAATCTTAAAACTTATCGTTTTTTCTTTAAAATTTTCTGTTGTTACATGAACTATTTAGTGAAATAATATAAATAAAAATTGCATCACTTTCTAATTTTTCTATTTTTAATGATGGCAGATGCATTTGTATAATTTGAAGGAAAATATATAAAACGTTTGTAAAAAATTTTATTTTTTCAAACTGGTAAAATTACAGGAAAAATGATTGCCAAGAACAAGTAAAATATACAAGATCATCTAAAATGTACCGAAAAGATAAATATCCAAAACAGATTTGTCATAAATTAAATTAACATTTAGTCATTCTTTTCAGCCGGATAAAGAAAAGTATACCATCTTTTTTCGTACTTATTTCATCCTAAAGAATGTATATGACTTTTATCTTATATGAAAAAGATAAAATGAGCATGAGTGAGAGTGCGAGATGGGATATTCAGGACATTATCCGTATTTCTTTTTATAAGGAACGTACCACTTCGCGCGACGTCTTTTAGGAAGATTCAATGGGTAGAACTTTCGCCCGAGATTACCAGCGGCGGAGATTTCGCATTTCGCGAATGAGTTATATTTACCAGGAATTGAAAATGATTCCGCTATACGACGTCTATCTTCGCAAGAAAATGTCGGGAGGCAATGAAACGTAATGTAACCCATTTATAAATAACCTACTGCTCCGCGAAAGAGATAACGTTTATCGACGCGCTATATCGTTGCGCCGGTCCGAATAATAAAAATCAGCTGTTTGGGGCATGAATGGTTGATATACGCTGTGCTGCGTAAGCGTTCAGATGCGAATGACGATTCAAGTGCATTTTCGGTGCCGTTCGAATGATCAGCGCGAAAAGCGAGTAGAACCTCATGCTCTCTCGAGCACGTTCTTTCAAATTCTTATGGCTTGTGTGATATATATATTGATGCACATTGTACACTGTATAGTCAATACACTTCCTACATATGTGTAATAGCAGGAATGCGCCAGGAAAACTTTCGCTATTACGTGTTTCTACGAGCGAACGGTAACTGTCACGCTCGGATGAAGTTTTCAGGCGTCATCGAACTAATAGAAAAATAGACAGTACTTGTCCGTTCATCACACAGCAGCCTATTTTGTACTTTGATCATACATGAGGAAATCTTTATTAACGGGAAAAGAAAGGAAACGAGCGATTATCGAGATGACAACGTAAACCGGGAAACAAACGGCATTGACCAGAATAGGAGACGTGCATGATACGATAATTTGTATGTACTCGCACGCAAAGGACTATTTGAAGAGTAGAGAAGTAAGATCTCTTATTATCTTCACTTTCGAATTTATGGTAAAGCCGAACGATTCTTCGTACAGGTTTCAATTTTAATTGCTTGATGTTTTTTTTTCTAATTACAAATTAAATGGAAAATTTCATGGCATAAAAATAAATGATTTAATATATCTTTTTAAGAAGAACTGAAACAAATTATCGCGGGAAATTTCTCATCTCATTTTGTTAAGCATGTATTTTTACCTGGAAATAATTCATAATAATAATTCATAATACACTTTACGAGATATCTTAACGCAACACCGGAAAAAGAATTTCGCGGGGTACGGATTTTCTTCTGCAACCCGGATTTCCAAACCGAGCGATATCAAGCTGGTCGCGACAACATCGTTTTTCATTCGCTAGTAACAAAATAGCGAAAATCTCGCTCTAGTTCGTGCTTCACGAGTGAACGAGAGATTTGTCGCGGTCGACTGGCGAGTGTACACATCGTCGATGCAGAGTGGTCAGCGGCGAGCGATTGTCGCGTTGATGCCAACGAAGGATCGACTCTGCGAATTTACACTATCGCTGTCCATCACGGCTCTCCGTCACGGCCCTTCGCCCATGTAAAAAAATCGAAAATTGCAAAAATCCAATTAAAACGTGCACGATTCTTCACTGACCTTGCTCAATCGCACCTGACGTTCAGTAGCAAGCTCCGAGCTCTTCTTTCAGTTCCACCGGAAACCCAAGGTCTCACGCGTGCACACCGAGGACACTCCGACCGACACTCTGATTCAGTAACTCCGTCCAACTCGTTACTGAAAGATAATGGAAGCGAGCGTATGACACGGTCGTTTGTCGAATGAAATCTCCTTCGGGATTCCTTCGAGAGTATTACCCTTCTTTCTCTCTTTCCCTCTCCCTCTCCCTCTCTCTCTCTCTCTCTCTCTCTCTCTCTCTCTCTCTCTCTCTCTGTCTCTCTTTTTCGATGTCCACCTCGGTGGACACGGCGCAAAACTTTCGCCCAGTTTCGCGTTTCACGTTTCACAAGTGACTGGCATTGGCCGCGGCTGGATGTTGATCCGCGCTCGTGTTCACCACTTTCGATACACGCACCTGCGTTCCCTTCCCGACGGGAGGGAGATTTCTGCGATCTGAAACACACACGCCCGTCCCCGATTGAATCGATTTCAGGTGATCCGATCCGCGCCGCTCCTACGAGTCTCGAACACCTCGAACAAGGAGGTATGGCTAAATGTCCATCTATACGTACACAACTATAGCTATGTACCTACTCTCTTAGTTTACCCCCCTTTCTCGAGCGGAGCACGGACGTCCTTTCGCTTTCAGCGCGGCCACTGACCACCATTACCCCGCTTGCCGTGTAGCACCGTGAAGGAACCTTACTTCCTTCACTTCGGGACCTCCTTCGGTGCACCGCTCTTTGATGGATCGCCTCGTAATAGCTAGTGGTCTGACTTTAGACTCCTCGGGCGTTCGAAAGGCCGAAGGTGCATTACATTATTATGACATTCACGTCAAGTTCATGGGCCTTTCGCTCGTCTAAAGTTGAAATTGATTAAGCCTAGAACACATACATAGGGTTTTTCAGACCCTAATTGAAATTTTGCTTGTTCCATACACAAAAAAAAGGAGTTTTATTTTATAACAAAACTTTTTGGTACAATCTATGCGCAGGTATATTCCTAAAGAGAGCTTCAAAAGAAAAGAGAGAATCTAAAGGCCGAGTTTTTCATTTTCTGGTTAATTTATGGTTAGGCTTAATCTGATGTTTTATTCGCTGAGCTTCATCTATGATGATGTCATAGGTGAAGTCCTTTGAGTGGAACATCAGGTTCAGTTTAACCACAAATTGATCAGATAACGAAAAATTGGGCCTAAATATTAATCTGAACTCCAAAGTAATCTATCAAAATTATAATGGGTCTTTCAGATCAATGGTACGTGTTTTTAGAAGGTTCTAGACTGCAATG